AGTGGCAGATCCCTGCCTCTGGACTTAGACTTCAAAAAACAGTACCAAGCCCAGGAAGCAATGTTAGATTTACTGTTGGACTAGATGATCTTAAGGGTCTTTTCCAACCTAAGTGATTCTAAGAGAAGTCTGCAGAGACACACACATCACCCCTGTTCGTATTCTGCCTAGCAGGTCGACAGCTGGAGGTGCGGCTTCTATGGCTGTCAAAGGGGGTTATAGCTCATTTGCACTGAGAAATAAAGGAACAGAAAAGGTAAGAAATGTCTTGATTGTAATGTGCAGCAGCGTACCCATATTATAAAACAGCCTTGACTACAACCTTCTGCCACTTTCTGTCTGAAAGCAGGCATGCTTAGCCTACCTCTAATGGAGGACATGAGCAGATAAGAGCAAGGCTTTGTGAATATGACAGGCAACTACAAAGAAACCCTCATATATCGACTTCTGGTAAAGGCTCACCTTACAAGGTACATCTGCAGACTTTTAAATTTTGCTCGTAAATATTTAGGATTAAATCCTGGTTTCACTGGTCTCACAGTGAAATTTTTACCAGTGACTTAAAAACAGTCATATTTCATGCTGCAGGGATATGAACTACAGGTGGAATTACACTTTGAAATGGTATTTCTGACTGTTTCTTAAGACCGCTGTATATATCACACTGTCCTTAGTATACTATCCTGACAGCTTATATGGAGAACATTGTTCTTATATGGAGAACACAAGAGTTTTAAAAAACAGTTTTAAACATTCAAATGTTACTTTCAGTGAAAGTAACAGATCTGTTTTATAAGAGCATGCTTTAACAACACTCAGATGATTCAAGGAAAAGTTAAATCCTCCATCTTAAAATCCTGGCGTGAAATTGGTTCAAGATTCAGCAACTGCTGTATCTTAGTCTTTCTCTTTGTTATTAGTTTTCCAATATTTTTTTCCTCATCTAGATTACCCTCTATTATTTAGTTATAACTTCCTCCATAATTGCAATCAATGAATAGTAATCACTTAATAAACATATCCTGACAGGTCTATTTTTGCACTGGGAAAAGATTAATTTTCTTTATCATCACTCCAGTAAGCAATTTTTCTTCTTACCTGAAGTAGCTAAGTGAAACGTAGTGCCTGGTGTATAGTTCTGCTCTGCTACGTACAGCATTTGAGCAAGGCCAGACACCTCTCCTTTAATTTTCTATTATTTGGATATAGATTTATCAAAGTCTGTGTAACTTGGAATTTGCATTCACTGATTTTTAGACATAATTCTATTGCTGCACATAGGTAAAAGCTTCTTTGCACAAACAGCTTGTTAACACTAAGCTAACAGTGCCATTCTGGGAGACATTTCAGAGTGCTTTCCTTAAAATGCAGGTAATGCAGAAAGAAAATACATTTTTGTTCAAGTTTTTGAGCTTCGATACTCCACATCAAAATGCCAAAGAGTGTGCATTCTGTCAACTACCTCTGAAGTCCTAATTTGTTATTAAGTAGAATAAAATATCCTAAATGAACTTGGATACCTGCAGGTTGCTATAATTATTTCTTTTCCACTGCCATGTAAATATAATACACAAAACTGGTAAAGAAACACAAAAGAAAATGGATTTTGGTTTATATATAGAAACCTGTATTTTTCCTCACAAATTACATTAGTTTGTTCTAAGTGGGCTTGGCCTAAAGTCACTGGGATCAAAGCAAGTTTTTCTACTGACTTCAACAGATTTCAGACTAGAAGGAGGAATAAATGGAAAGTCAGAGTACATAAACCTTCCTACTTTCAACCTCACTCATAGGCTGTTTCACTCTGGTCTGGCCTTTGCCTTTGGACAAACAGACTGTGCCCTTTGACAGGTACCTTCCAAAGAGAACTAGAACAATGGCTTTGGATTAAAAACTAAACTGAACTAAAATAATTTTTAATTAAAAACCTAAGTTTTGAATCCATCAAATTTGCTTTCCTGAATATTATCTTTTTAGGCGGACAATCCTTAGTGAGTAATGGTCACATGAGGTCTCTCAACCTTTCAGTTGAAAGCTACATTGTAAAGAGAGTACTCTAAATTAAAATGAGTTTCTGTAAAATATAAGTACACTTTAGTTCTCCACACTAACATTCACAACATCTTGAGCCATTCACCCTTGTTCCAAAGTACCAATTCTCTCTAAGGACAAATTTTCCAGTGGTAACTTCTAGAATTTTTTGTACAAATACCGAGAAAAATCAGTTTTACCATCGTTATCCTCCAAACTTCCTGTTTAAGCCCCACGTAACACAAACCAGTGGGTTCAAGCTGACCTGTCCGCCTGAACTGAATTCTATTTCTGGCATCATGCTTTGTGCTTTTGTGAATGTGCTTAATTGCTAGCTGAGGTGAAACCATGACAATTATACACATCAATAATAGGGAAATTATTTCCTTCAGAGCTCTGGAAGTTAGACTAAAAATTCTCACTTCGGAGTTCAGTAGTTCAGCTTGTAATTTTCAGAATTCTTTTAAGGTATCAGCACAAGGCATCTTTTTGTGTGCACAGTAAGGAAGACTTTAAATACACTAATTATTTCTAAACATAGGCATATTAATAAAGCAAAACAAATTTTGCACAAAGCAGCAACTTTTAAAATAAGCAATTATTATGCAATTTAATGCAAAAAAAAAAAAAAAAGGCATTTTGTAAAGATCTGGGAAGTACTTAATATGAAAACAAAATGCCTGGATTAATCCAGCAGAGATATGTTGATACCATGGAATTCAGAAAGCAATTGTGAAAGAACACTCTGCCTCTATGCTGGTGACAAAGTGTTCAGTCATAAAAGCTTTGATTTAAATCATAAATTTAAATCATCAATTAGCATAGTGTGGTGGAAGCATGCAGCACCACAACATCAAAGGATATGCCCCGAAAATATCTAGATTTTTTCCCCCCTCCCCTTCTCTCCAATAAGAGGATGCTTTTAATTTCCAACCCATGTGTATCAGAAATGGTTTGTATATCCAGGGAGAAATCAGAGGGGAATGAAAAAGAAAAACAGCTTGAGGGATGCAAGAATCTCAACATACTTTTAAGTAAAAAAATAACAATTCACTTGTAATAGGACTGTCCCATTAGGGTCCCTGATTGCCATGAAAAATCTCAACTGACCTACTCTGTTTCTTTGTTAAATTTAACACTTTAGGATAATTAAACCAATATGACCTTGGATCTGGACTCACTAAGTTTCTTTTAAGGTATGCCTCACAGTCCTCCAAAAATTCATCGGAGAAAAACACTCTCGCTAGAACTTCACGTTGTCTCAGCAGATGGATACTTTGGTTCCAGATAATTTTGTTCAGACTCCTCGGAAGAGAAGTGACCAATCAGAATTCCCCATTTTTTGATTAGAGCATAGGGAAAATAACAAATTTTTCTTTCGTTTTCAGTAACTTCACAAAATAATCCAAATACACTACCTGACTGCTTGTAGAGACAAAATAAAGAACTTCATTTCGGAACAATTAATTCCTCTTCAGAATACATTTTCAAGCACGGTAATTGAGAGGATCGAACATCATTGCTTTGTGTAAGTATAACCTTTTTGAACTTCCCAGGCTGACACATCACAGCTGAGAGGCAATCGTGTTAGTCACGGCACTCTGCGTGATGCCAGTGCTGCACTGAGGAGCATGCTATTAGGAAAGGGTACAGCAGCATGCTGCACTACCGACGGGGCCCTCCCATGCTGGGACTGTCTATATGCAAACACCATGCCCACTGTCACAGCACAACACAGGAGAATGCTAGGGAGCTATTTCTGTAACACCAGGAACACTTATTCCTCCACAACTCGACCCCTGCTCTGTCTGCTGATGCTGGTGATGTGTTTCAGATGTGATGTATAATAGCAGGAGAGCACTGATGCATCAGACCAGGAAATTAAAAAAGATGCCATTCACACAAAGGAATGTTTAGTTAAGTTTGAAAATCTTGGCTCAGATGACACCGTGATGGACCATTTGTTACATCTTTACTTACTAATGTTCATTTGCTGAGGAATTTGTTGTTGGTTTGTTGTGTGGGGTTTTTTTCCCCTCTACAAATCAGTTTGTTACTGATTTTAAATGATTCGAAGAGCTCATCTGCATTTCACCCAACACATTTTGAGTCAGAGCGAATATCTGAAAGCACTAGGGTCCTTAAAGGAACAGCCTATTACAGTACACAACAGTAACTATGTTTCTACGATTTATGAAAAGAAAGCAATATGTGCCTGTTTCGGTGCCTGTCGTTTGCCTACCAATGGTGCAGTGCTCCCCATTCCAGCCCTCTCTGCATTCACATTTCCCATCTTTACAAGTTCCGTGCTCCGTGCAACGGGGATGACACACACGCTGGTCACAGGCCACTCCTGTCCACCCTTCTTCACAGCGACATGCTCCGCCAATGCACACCCCGTGGGTGCCACAGTCCACGGAGCACACTTCTGGGAGGAGAAAAGAGTAAGGATTAGAGCTGGCTTACGTCAGCGGCAACGGGGCAGAAGCAGCGACTAGCCACCAAGGGAAGAGTGAGTACAAGAGGTATTCTCCTCCTGAAAAGTAGCTGCTCTCAAAAGCTGGCCTGTTCATATTCTGATCAAAGCCAGCATTAAACTTTTGCTTGAAAGCAAACTAGATCATATTAAAAAGCTGTTGAAAAATAATCTGCTACTGCCCGCTGGACAGAGGGCTGTGGAGCTGCATCCTCCGCTGAGATACAAACGAGTTTCAGGGGCAGCTTCGTCGACCCCTGTCACATTGCAGGAAGGGAGCACGTAGCTGTTTTCCTTGAATCTGGACCTTTGGTGATTTCGACACAGACACTGATCTGCTACGAACGAGACCGAAGCTCACCTACGCTCATCCGGCAGAGAACGGTGACGACCACAGTCACTAGGGCTCTAGTAGTGCCGGCTGAAAGACACTTTCAAGGGATAGATTTCGGAATCTTGCTACTAACATGGTCAGTTATCAGGTGTCTGACTCCAACGATTGTACCGCTCTCTGCCAGCGGAAGGTGCAGAAAGGAGAGGGGTCTTTTGCCTCAGGCATCAGCAAAGGAATTGACAGGGAAAGTCTCATTCATGAATTTTTCTGGCTGGTGATGCATGAAGCAGAAAAAACACATCTTGATATTCATTTCACTGGTGGGATATTCTAAGTCATTAATCTCGAGAAATAACTGAATAAGTGTGAAAAATGTAAATTTTATTTTGAGAGAGTTGCTTCTGGCCTACAGCTCCGTCTCAAGGTTCAGCTTACGATGTAAATGCACCCAGTATTTTTTCCCCACAAATAGAACATTTGCTGTCTTGTCAAAACGGGTTTTATATTTTTTTTTCTCTTTAGCTCCTTCTGTTAGAATAATCGCGTGAAATTTTTTTAGCTCACACTTTTGTGCCTGCTTATTAGTGTCTCTTGCTCTAAAATTACTTTTTAAATATTCCATGCTCTAAAATTATTTTTTAAATATTCCATGCACAACTGAAAAGAAAAAAAACCAGCCTTTACTTGAAAAGAGATTTTCTGGTTTGTGATGTTTTTCATGAATGAGCAGCATATTGATGAGCAGTGAAGCAAACACCAAAAACATACTTAACATTCCATTCCTCAAATGTTATAAACATATTTAGAAATTACGTATTTACAGTTGGGAAGGAGATGCGAACTGCTTTAGTAACTTTTTCAGCCCAAACAGGGGTCAATATTAGAACAAAATACAAACGCCTAACCTGCATCCCCCTCACCACCCAGCTGACAGCCCCAGCATGTCACAAGAAATAGCATCCAAGATACATACACGCTTCTGCCCCACATAATTAAAGAGCAACAAGCATGTTCCAAAGACAATTTTCTAAATTATTTGCATTTCAAAGTTGCCATAGGTATTAACATTTTAACAAAATAGGGACATGATTGCCAAATCAGGAAACAGTATTTTCCTTACCAACGGAGCAGTCAGGACCCATCCAGTTGGGATCACAGCTACAAAGACCCGTGTCAGACAGGTAGGTACCGTGCCCACTGCATTGGTCTGGACACTGGGCTCTGGGAAGCTCACAATTAATTCCACCCCAACCCGGGCTGCAGAGACACTCTCCATTCACACAGACTCCGTGGTTGGAGCACGTTGGATCTAAGCAATCAACTACAGAAGAAAACACAATGTAGAGAAAGGTCACTTCACATGATATGATGTTTGGGAAACATGTAGATGCGTGTCCTGAAGAGTTAATATTACTGCAATAAATAAAGCAAATTGACGCAGTTGTTCAAGTCATAGTAACACCTGGTCTGAGAATGGGAAAGTGTGAAATAATTTGTGTTTTACATTATCTCCAAATAAAACCAGGTGTGGCTGCACCATGAAAGCTGGCTGCTGGAATGCTGTGGTGGGAAGCACAAAGACTGAAAAATGACACTTAAATATACATAAGAAGAGTTCCAAACACACGCCTTCACCTGGAGACATTTCTTCTGAAATACACTGAAGTTTCAAAGACTCACGTACTACATTTTCGTAACAAAATAAATTAAAAAATCCCTGAATAAATTCCACTCTTTAAAGGATATTTTGCTTTGGAGTATCCTCATCAATACTGCTATTATTACTATTCAAATGCTACAGCATTGTGGAATAACATTATGATATCGACTTTAAGTACCTAGAAGTCAAAATATCAGTGCCTTTCAGCTTCTTTTAGACTCCTAAATTATTAAGGCACTTCTGAACATTTGATTCATGGTCCATTAGCATCTGAGCTGTGAAACTGAGAGTCGTAGTTACTTCAACCCATATCCTAACCAGCCAGTAATTCCTCTTAAAGAAATAAAGAAAAACAGATTTAGAGATAGATTTCTTATTTTCTCAATCCAGAAACAACAGACTATAAAAGTGAAAATAGTTATGATGGAAAATCAGCCAATGAAATTTCAGTTGCTATTTCAATATATATCATGAATTTGTATAAGTATACTATGCTCTACCACAAATACCAACATAGAGGCTTTACCAACTGCTTTTTACTGTGGAATTGAGGGCCAAGGCCGAATTCATGTCCTAAATAAAACGAATTCATCTCATGACTGGCATATATTACCTCACAACAGAAAGACCAAGAATGATTGGCATTCTCTCTTGCAGCTGCAGGAAGATCTGAGTTTATAATGAAAGTGATTTATCTCTCATCTTTTCCAAATCGATCCTTCTAAATTAAGGCAGAGACATTTTCACTCTACCTTATGTGAACAATACTTGATCTTTCAAATCTCAACTTTTCTATAAACACAGAGTCTTGTCAAATTATTTTATGTAGTTGCAGAACATTTAAGGTAAGCACATAGATTAAACAAAACAGAGAGGATTGAGGCAGGCACATTGAGAGATGCAGTAAGAGGAGTTATCAGAATAGTTTTGATTTTAATTCAGATTTCAGTAGTACAGGAATATATTTCTTACAAAATTTTCATTTTAATGATGACTTTTGCTATAGTGGGTTTTTTTTGTTTGTTTGGTTGGGTTTTTTTAAGATTTAGTGCTTAGTTAGTTGGACCTGAAAATATTACAATTCAATTTTGGATTCATGGGTAAACCAAGATTGTTTTGTGGTTCAGCTCAGATATGTTTTGATACATTCAGAAATCGTTTTACAATTATCCAGAATGCTTGTCCTGTAGTCTTATTCCTCCTTGGTGCTTAACAAAATTAGAAGCTGTCCAAAGTTTAGAATATGTCTTTCACAGTATTTCTGTTGAACATGACAGACACAGAGCTGTGAAATAATAATCGGTTTGAATAAAGAAATAATGAACACAAAGATTTAGGTCAATTTACTTTTAGTGTGAAGGTTACTTTTTTGCCCTAAATTTAGTCTATTCTAACTTTTTTTAGATGGTGATATTTTAACGGAAAATGTAAAAGGGTAATATGTGTATAACATTGTATGGGGCTGGACAGCTAGCTTTAGGAGATATTGGTGAGTCCTAATGTACTCTCCATGTCAGAAATGTATCATCTTCCTTCTCAAATGAAAGTACTAATGAAAGCAATGTAGAGCATATGAAAAACCCCACCTTTTGCTGCAAAATTACCTGTGTTTCCTCTTTGTTGAATTACAGTATTCATGCAGCTGAGACTTACTTACACAGAATAAGCCTATCAATACCCCTAAGCCCTCCATCTCCCTTGTTTTATAGAGTAACACCCTAACCTCCTTTGTTCTAGACAAACATACTTTATAGCTGTTTTGTTCTACCATATGGGTAAGTAATAGCTTTCAAAGTTTAAACTGAAAAAAGTTTTTACTTTGAACTCAAATCTTGTTCTATTTTAATACATGCTCTTAGAGTTACCATCTTGGGCCAGATCCTCAGCTGTTAAAATTAGTGTAACGCGATTACCTGCAATAGAACTACACTGGCTTACGCTGCAAAGGTTCTGGCCCTGAGTCTTTAGATTGGTTTACAATGGTATTTAGTAAGGATTTATAAATGGATCTGCTTTGGTGTTTAAACAAAGGAGAACACGCCTTAGCAAGTAAGTATGAGTTCTATGATAGAACCCAGAGCCCCTTGGCAGCTCAGATCATTAGAGCTCATTTAGTATTGGGCCCTCTGTAGATTTGACAAAAAAGCTACTGAAAACAATTTATATCCCTAAGGACAAAAAAGGAGGTCAAGGAGTTTTCTGAACAATATGTACCATAAAACCCCAAAAGAGCCATGAATTACACTTAGAAAGTTGAATGTCATTGAAAAATGACTCAACCATGAAGTTGACAAGAAAACCACCCTTAACTTAACCTAATTTGGCAATTTCACTTGTCTCCCCCTAAACCAGATTGAATGAAACCTGCCAAATACGCCACTTCATCTTGTGTGCAAATTTGTTAATAGAAAAACAGTGTTTATGCTGCAAAAATTGTGCATCACAAGTATTGATTTTGCTGCCACTTTCATTTCAGGTAAATTGTTTTAACAATATGACCGTGATGAATATCAGAAATAAAAAGCTAATGGGAAGAAAAAAATGCTGACCCATTTGTTATAATTCAATATCCTAGTTGGAAAACAGCAAATGAATCAACCTTCACCATTCCTTTTGGAAGCTCAAATCAGTAGAGGAGATTTCATGTATTACATACATAAATACAGATGTATTTGTTTCTATCATTCTACCATTGGAGTGGTGGAATTTTAATTAATGCAAAAGCTTTACACGAGATGAGATGGTTATCTGTGATTGGAAAGACACCATTTCATACTACACTCTTTTTCCCATAGCTCCTGAATTAATCTGAGAAATATATACAGCAGAAATGGAATTTAGCATAGAAACACGATGGTTGTGTTTTATTTATTTGTAAAGTAATTAATTGACTTATTTACTGTGCAGTGGTGTATGCAAAAAGTTGTTTTAACCTTTCTTGTCATGTTACTGGCCCCTTCCACTCTACATTTTCTAACAGAAAACACTGTCAATAAACCAAGTATTGAGCTTAATCTATGACCACATTTTGCATGGGTTATTTCGTTCTACATACACAAGGAATGGGACATTTTCAGCATGAAGAGCTTTTCTGCATTTAAAGGACAGTTATCGTTCGTGTGCACCATCTACCTTTCTTTAATCCCATATGATTGCAGCTAACAGGAGTAAATTGCCCTCCATGCAGTCTGTAAGTAACATGGATACCTAATTTTTTCAATTTTGTGTCATCAACTTCTGTCTTAATAGTGACCGATATGTTTGCTTTGTGTGGAGCTGCAGCTATACAATTTTGTCTACTGCTGCTCCTTTTTCCTCCGAGTTTCACAGCTAAATTGTTCAATAAATATAATTCATAAAAAAAGATTCATCTTCACTCTTCAGCAAAGGAATTATTCAGGTGTACTTGTGGCAGACATTCTTAATACTGTAAAACAATGTATACAGAAGGTCAGAAGTTTTGACTGAACATTAATAGATCAGTAAAATTGTGAAGGACTACCTTTTTACACCTCTTTTACAATATGCTGGTGCAGGAGTTTTACATTTAAATTGTTATTCTGTTCTTTCCTTTTGTCCTACCCATTAAACAACTCCAACACCCAGAAAACAAACTCACAACCCAGAAAAAAAAAAGTCCTACCTTCTTCACAGTTTTCCCCTTTATAGCCAACAGAGCAGACACAGTTCCCTTCGATGCAGGAACCATGACCTCCGCATGAGGGATCAATACACTGGCTGATGGGTACATCACATTCTGGACCTTTCCAGCCACTGTAGCATAAACAGGTGCCTTTAGAGTATTGACCATTGCCACTGCACAGAACTGGGCAGGCAGCTGCAAAATTGAATGAAAGAAAAACAGCATGCAGGGTCATACATGTATTCACATAAAAGTGCACTAAAAATCACTACCAGATATTTAAACATATATTCAAATATGTTAATTTACTGGGGAAAAAAAATCTAACATAATTCGCAGTAGTTCAGTTCTTCATTGCCCAAAGAAATAATTTTATTGTTATTTACTAAGGCACATATGTTGGGCATTCTAAGAATACAGCTACTATTCTTTATAGACTATTAATGATGTTTGGGGGAACTAATGAGCTAGTGTGAACAGGTTTGAGTCTGACGTTACTCTGCTTTGTTCCACTAGGTAACATCCAGTTTTCACAGACAGCAGAACACAACACATTCAGTCCCCAGAACATTCTACGATACAGCATCTTTCTTCTTCCATAACACTTCTTAAATGTGATGTCCCCAAATTTTTTTAGGCCCTTTGACTTGGGGTTTTTTTTCAGTGTAGGAATCTTGAACACCAGAATAACACAAGCTTTCATCTACAATAAATGCACCTGCTGAACCTTGTCTTCCCAAATCCCAGAGTGACTGCTTTTACCCTGTGTGTATTGGCAAGAAAGCATCATTAACCCTTATCCCTCCCTCTTGTATTATTAAGGGGTAAGACATAATCTGATCAACTATTCACTTATGCAAATGAAGTGAAGCCTGTTAATAATAAAGGTAGTCAGCAGGTCTCGGATGCCAGGAATCAGATGTTGTACATATGCAGAGCAATGGAAAGAAACAAGTGTTTATTAAAAGCCAGTTGCACAGAAATGTTACACTAAGGCATATTCACACTCCTATATGCCCACCTCTCCCACGTGAACATGGCAATCTGCGAACCTAGATGCCTGCCAAAGACTGAATATGTGGTCACCAGCCAGAGAAATGGACAAAACAACAGAGGAATAACAGAAAATGAGAGTAATGAAGTGAATCTTTGAGAAAAAGTACATTTTTGTGCTCCTCTCTCTGTTGCAGTTTGATAAAGACAGAAAAGTATTTCCCTGTCTTTTCACCCTTCAAAGTAATTAGAAACTAACAGCTAGCTTTACAGTGCCAAAAATATACTCAAAAGCTACTGTTAATCATTAAAAGGTCCTAATGTCTTCTCGCTTCTATTATCGCTTTAACCTGAATGATCAAGAAGAACCTAAGTAATTGATTTCCTACAAAGAAGTGTGTAATTGTCCAGTTACACAACTTCTCTACTGTTCAGTCCTGTAACCCTTATTAATCTTAGCTCTCCCATTGATCTGCTGGAAAAACACATTTCAGGACAGATTTTTCCAAGAATTTTCTTACCTGAAATGGGAAAAAAAAACCCCAAAACCCAAACCAAAACCAAAAACCCACCCCAGAACAAAAAGTATTCAGATTCATAACCTGAGTTGTTCGCTAAAATTTAGAATGCCCACAATTCTTCCAATTAAGACTACAAGTTGATGGGCCATATGTCACACCTATAATCCTTTTTAGTCTATTTTTTTCTACGGTAGTATAATAACAAAATCAGTATGCTGGAGTCTGGGGGGGTTTGTTACTCCTCCTCTGACTTGGGGCCATATTGTCTGTTGTTTGGTAACAATAGGACTTCATTCTACTTCATTCCTGGTTCTCCCATACTATGAGACTTGTTCAATCTTTTCCTTTCTTACTCCAATAATAATACAAATCAGAATAAAATATAACTTTCTGATTCAGATGTGACATATGTTCACAAGTGCTTTACTGAGTTCAGTGGGAAAGTTTCTGCTGAAGTACTACCTGATTTGCTTTTCCCAGCTGGTTTCAGAATCAAGTGTACTGAACCAGCTGTACTGAATTACAGTACAAACACCCCTTATGTCCATACTGCACTCAGCCCATTTTACATCTTTTTGCATGCCATCATGAAACACCCTTCAATGACAGAAAACACACTGAACTAGTAGCAACCTGTATGTCATATGACTACCTTATTCCCTCTGTCTACGTGCCTTACACCGTGGAGTCTATCTCAGTTCATCAGCACGCACTGCTTTCACTGCCTAGACAGCCTAACTGCTACTTGCTACTGCAAGTCATAGGTGAACCATAAAGAAAGGGATCAAAGTAAGACCCCTTCTTCTCTTCAGGTATGAAGGCCTGGGGACACAACAATTCCTTGCTCCATAACTCTCAATTTAACTGCAATTAAAAGTCCCGATTGGGCTGACATTGATACATTTTACCAAATCACTGTAAGCATGGTAATCACTTGAATCTTGCTTTCTTTACTTGCCATGGTGTAGAGGATCTGGGGGTGAGTGATCAGAAGGCAGCTTGTCCTGAAGACCTGGTGTAATCACGAGTGGCAAGTTCCTTGGTGCCACCTTCCACACCCTGACACACTGTAGAGACACTATCCCTTTACCTGGGTCTCAACACAAAAATATCTCGCTCTCGAAGAAGGCAGCTCTCAGCTCCTGTATGTGGTGGTGAACCCTGCAGTCCCTTTGTCCAAGTCCACCAGAGAAGGAAGTGATAGATGCAAATTCTCTGCATGTTCCCCACCCGTTGCAGACTCAATGTTATCATTACTAATGGATGCTCAGTATGGATTCTCCAACTGCACTGGGACAAGCCAGCATATGGCTTGCTTTTGCCCATCAACCTCCTCACCATCCTGTGATAAAGCTACATAGAAAGAAAAGGTCCCAGGAAAGCTGTATGAATCAGTGGCAGGCGGGAATTTCTTCAGACAAACCACATTTGTTCAAGTAGTTATAAAGACAAAAAGCTAGAGTTGACTTACAAACTGGATACAAGTGAGGAATAGCATTTTTTGGTTTGTTGTTTTATGAGTCAACATGGCACTCAACACCTTAAAGGACTGCAAACCTCTCCTCTGGTGTTAAAACTCAAATAAAGGCAATAACTCTAATGGACCAGCACAGTCCTCTGCAGAGGAAGTACTGAGCAGAAATAAATCCATTATTAAAATAAATGAAAACAAAAACGTGAAAACCAACAAGCAGCTCAGATGTGACCACTCTAGACCTGGCTAGATGATACTGTGCCGGTCACCTGCTGCAAGATTGCTCCTCCCTTCGCCTTGCCCCAGAGCAATGGGCAATTGTGGTCCAGCTAAAATGTGTATCTGCTATGCAGAACATTTCTACGGGAAGGCCATTCTTAGCTCCCATTTTTGACCTGAATTGCCAGGGTTCAACTTCTGGGACACTAGAGATTGGCACAGCATAAGAAAGATTACTAGATGGTTCTGGGTCTTGGGCTGCAGAAATCCCAACATAGTTTTTTAGTGTTCCCTTACACTGTGATGCTGCTTCAGGAATTCAAGGAAAGCTGAAGGCCGTGTCACAGCTTTTAATTTCTTTCCTCGTGCTTCTACCAGGTCAGAGGTCTAGCTATGGTTCATAAATCTATTTTGTCCTTTTGAAGCTTGTATGAGTTGAACAGTAATCTGCCTTCAGTGGTCTGCCACTGCAGTATGCACTGCCAAGATGTTAGTGGCACCAGAACTGACTTTGGACAAATGAGAGAATCTGTCATTTAACCTCAGGGATGAAATGAACACAGTTGAGATTAAGACACTCGCAACCTAAAGCCACAAAGTTTAATCTACAACCCTCTGTTGGGGTTATTCTACAAAATATATATAACAGGAATATCACTTTGTGAATAAGAAAAATGACTGCGGTTCTCGGTCAGATTTTGGCATTTCCAAGACTGCCGTGTCACTAAGATTGCTGGAGAAACATGTGAGCAAGAATGCAAGTAAGCACAGGTTACAAGAAGCTGACTTGTCACTGCTGTAATAAATAGCTCTTCATTAATGTTTCTGCTATGGGTTTATAGGCCATCCTAAGTGAGGAATTGAGACAGAATCAAACTGTTCTTCCATAAAAAACAGAAGCAGGCAGTCTAAAAAGAAGTTTGCTACACTCTCTTGCTAGACCATGTTGCTGCGGGGCAAGACCCAAAACAGTCCACTCTAATTTTACATCCAGGTAGCATCAATTGATGTGCAAGCAACTTGAGTCATCCGGAGTTCTTGTTATCTAAGACTGCTTATTTTCCCTATGTGAAGTGGATGGCCTCTATTCCACAACAGAATTGACATATCGAAGTCTGTTGAAGGAGTGTGAAGGAAGGTTGGTTTACGGAAAGGAACAATCAAGTTCCATCTCACTTCTGTGGACAGACAGGTTGCATAAAGACAACCGTGTATCACACACCAGCACTGTCAAAAAGTGGACAGAGGTCTCCAGGGCTAGTTATGGCCACACTCAAGTTAAGCACAGGGGTATATCTCCTGAGTGAAGTTTGAATAAGCACAACAGGTCTTAACCCTAAATGTGGTTTTGGTGATGCGGTTCTGCCCTTTACCAGTATTTAAACAAAACCAGGCTAAGTTCTTAACATGTGTCTCAGCTGATCAAAGGATACTACAGACCTTTGAGTCCTGTAGGCTGCACACATTTAAGAACATGAATTGAGCAGGAAAGACCAGCCAAACACCCCTCTAAAAGTTCTCTCTCTAAAGAACATCTTTGGATAGGTATTTTGGAGTAACCTTAATATTCCCTGATGCATAAGGAAAGGTGACTTGCAAACAGCCTGTTACACATGGACTAGGAGGGGAGATGGTAAGGGATAATGCCCAAATGGTCTGGCATCAAAAGCCACCATTCTTTCCTGTGACACTGAACATATAGGTATCCCAGCTGCAGTCTGTGCACACAGTCCTTTCGCCCACCCTTACGGTATGCACACGTACATACTCACCAGAGGTGTTCCAGAGCATGGCAAGAAACCAGAAAAGGATATGTGAGGCTGGTTGCAGACCTTGGTTTAGTTACACGGCTGCTTGGTTGAGAGGCCTTCACCTGCTACTTGAAGTTCCAAACAGGATTTGAAGTCAGAGTTCTGGCTTGGTTCCTCTCGCTGTAGAGCAAACATTACCCTGGGGCAGAGAGAGTCCTGTACCACCAGGATCTAGGC